AGGCATAACGGGTTGTTAAATATTATCTGGCAGATGTCAATATTTCGAAAAGTGTTGGTTAACCCTTTCAATTACCAGAAATTCTAGACCCAAGACAACTAAATCAAAACTTTGTCAAGTGAATCAACATAGACATCTTCTACTACTATATGAAGTTGAAAAGAGTATTGAAATGTTTTTGATGGTATAATAGTTATTCAAGTATGTTGAAAATATTGATTTTAGCTCATTTGAATCGAGATATCACCGTATTGAAATACAGTTGTTATATTAACTGTCATATTTCATTGACTTTAAAAGTACTGATTAAATGTTAACTATAAGATAGTAATTACTAAATATTTATAAAAAGAAGTCAATATATTAATTAAATGTTTACGTGAACTGTTGGTTTTAGGTGCAGTAGTTTTTGTGAAACTATGTTGAATGATTCAAATTATTTACTTAATATACCTATACAAGGCATAACGGGTTGTTAAATATTATCTGGCAGATGTCAATGTTTTGAAAAGTGTTGGTTAACCCTTTCAAATACCAGAAATTCTAGACCCAAGACAAACTAATCAGAACTTCGTCAAGTGAATCAACATAGACATTTTCTACTACTATATGAAATTGAAAAGAGTTAAAAGTATTGAAATGTTTTTGATGGTATAATAGTTATTCAAGTATGTTGAAAATATTGATTTTAGCTCATTTGAATCGAGATATCACCGTATTGAAATACAGTTGTTATATTAACTGTCAGATTCATAGGTATATGAAAGGCATAACGGGTTGTTAAATATTATCTGGCAGATGTCAATGTTTTGAAAAGTGTTGGTTAACCCTTTCAATTACGAGAAATTCTAGACCCAAGACAACTAAATCAGAACTTCGTCAAGTGAATCAACATCTTATACTACCTTATGAAATGAAAAGAGTTAAAAGTATTGAAATGTTTTTGATGGTATAATAGTTATTCAAGTATGTTGAAAATATTGATTTTAGCTCATTTGAATCGAGATATTAACGTATTGAAATACAGTTGTTATATTAACTGTCAGATTGCATTGACTTTAAAAGTACTGATTAAATGTTAACTATAAGATAGTAGTTACTAAATATTTATAAAAAGAAGTCAATATATCAATTAAATGTTTACGTGAACTGTTCGTTTTAGGTGCAGTAGTTTTCGTGAAAGTATTTTGAATGATTGAAATTATTGACCTAATATACCTATGAAAGGCATAACGGGTTGTTAAATATTATCTGGCAGATGTCAATGTTTTGAAAAGTGTTGGTTAACCCTTTCAATTACCAGAAATTCTAGACCCAAGACAACTAAATCAAAACTTCGTCAAGTGAATCAACATAGACATCTTCTACTACTATATGAAATTGAAAAGAGTTAAAAGTATTGAAATGTTTTTGATGGTGTAATACATACCTGTGCTCTTATCCATATAGCTGTAATACGCGTTCAAAGTTGAAAAATTGAAATTAGAACTTTTGAAAAAGCAGTGTTTTCACATTTCATTGATTTACTCGAAAACTATAATAGATAGAATGTATCCAATACAGGCATATGAAAGCTGAATGTTTGGGTAATTCAGCAAGTATTAATACATTCCTGTGCTCTTGTCCATATTGCTGTAACACGCGTTCCTTTTATGAAATGGAGGGGGGGAGGCGTCAAATGATTACATACTTTTGAGGGAGGCGTAGTAACATCAAGTTTGGAAACCACTGGTGTAATAGTTATTCAAGTATGTTGAAAATATTGATTTTGACGTTCAGGAATATTGATGGAAATCATCATCATGATGCACCTCTTCGCCTACTCGGAATTTGCAATGTATGAGATGATCATGCATTTCCTTATTTCGAAAATTATTGATCGTCGACGAGTGAGTGAGTGGTGTAGTCCGAATGTATTTTTAAAGTTGACTCCGCTCCAGAGAGACCGCTCCACTGCAGCAAGCGACGGAGGCAGCTGGAGGCGGCAACGCTGATCCCAGCGGATCCAAAGTTGTAGTAGTTCACAATAGTTGGCACTCCTCGTCACCGACGCGCTGCTCTCAGTACCGTTTTGACGTTTGGTGCGGATAGGTTGGTTGCGTTCCCACCGATCATCTGTCAAACAAAAACACTCGCACGAAAGTCGTACTATATTTATTATTGTTTATTTTTATGATTTTTTTACCCGTCTATTTGGTCGGTCTTCAATTAAAAACGGTTCGTCTTTCGGTACGCGGTTCACGAGACGCGAGTATCCTCTTAAAGTGTGCGGCTGGAAGCTCCTTCGCATCGAGTTCTTTCAGCTCCCATGGAATTTTTTTACTCACCCGTTGACGACACGTTTTGAAGGTTAGTTTTCTCTCCTGCCATCTATCACACTCTCTTTCTCTCTCTCTCTCTCCAACGCAGTGCAGATCGACGGGAACGAACGAAAATAAATAACAGAAAACACCCAAAATGTTTACTACCATTGATAAGAAAGATGTGTCCCGATGGGGCTGCTGCATGCCGCATCGACGGCAGCGGCAGCATCCTATAAATAGAAGGCAAAAAGTGAGCCTAAAACAACTTTCGGTTTCACGAAAATAGAGCCGTAAAAATAAACAACAGAAGAAGATGACGATGAAACAAAAAAAAAATAAATAAAAGAACAACAACGAGCCGCAGATCCTCAACCTACTTTCCTCCTTTTAATGCAGCGCGACTTTTTCGCCCTTTCTAGATCAATATTGTCGGACGAGACGCAATTTTCAATACAACAATTTAACAACAATTCAATTACTCATCTAATTAATTCGTGTGCGCTAATTTTTGCCATCCAACTTGTACTTTACGAAACGAACAACAACAACATAACACACAATCAAAAAAAAGAAGTAATAGAATGTTCTCATTGGTAATACGTTATATATAGGATTTCTAAAGCGTTTCCACCTATTTCGCTTAATTGTTGATTCGATTCGAATTAAAATATTACTGTACATTTATAATTGTTCCAATGATTGCGTTGTTTGCAATGCAGAAAGTAATCTCGAACGCCTTTATTAAATAATTATTACTCTTTATTTATTTTATGTATGTGTGTAAACTATCGTCGCTTTCGATTCCGCAAATTGCGTTCAATTGCTTATGCAAAAGAGAAAGATATTTGACTGATTCTTGCATGCAACTTGCTTCATTTTCTTTTCTTTTTTTAACGATTTTAGAAGTACTAGATTTACGAAACATTGTGTAACATTCGAAGAAGAAGTAAGATTTCTTTCTCTGAATTAATTTTCAATTAAAAGACATTTAAATTATTCTCTATTGTGTTTACGTAGATTGTATTCATTTCCAAGACAAATAACATTGTTGTTAGTTGAAGTACCGATTTGTTAATTTGAAGAAGATGAAAGAAACGATTATTGTGTTAAAGTTAATTTTCAATTCGTTTTCAAGAAATTTTAATTATTCATGAAAGGTTTTTAATTTACTAATTATACTTTGTACGATTAAAGTAACAGGAATAAGATTAAACTTATTGCAATTAATTTCATGGCATTTTATATGTAAATTTGCAAAGATAATTTACACGTTCTTGAAAAAAACCTCAGCTTCGCAGCTGTTTTCTTTATACTTTAACGTAAGATGCCAAAAAAGGTAGTCGTATATAAAAATACGCAATATATTTCATATATTTATTGGAAGTAATTAAATGAAAGAATATTTTTTCTTAGTAAAAGAAAGATGTTGAGGTGGAAATGTCCTATTTGTTGATTCTTTGTAGACTTACAGTAGCCTGTTTTTTTTATTTGTGTCTACAAAATACACATAAATATACATTTTTTTTAGCAGCAGAAGAAAACAGTCAATATACTGATTGAATAAATAAGTGAATACAATTGGAACGGGTGTTAACAAAGTAGAGGAAAAGTAAACGAAAGAATGAAATGGTGAATAATATTTACTGTTTAGTTTGTGTGTTGAAAAAAAGAAGAAGAAAGAAACAAGATCAAAGGCATTTGTTTGACTGAATTCTCCGTTAAAATCGAAGTATTCTCGATTCATTTTATTTAACAGATGCATATAGTTAAGAAAACTTAAAATTATGGATTTATCAAAGTAGTTAAATGTTATAAAACAAATATATGTATTTTATAGTTAAGTAATCACTATTACTATTTATATACTAACTACGGGCAAATAATATATTTTGAGAAGTAATTTCGTCCATGAAACTTGTAAAATTAAGCTAGAAAGTTCAGTAAAAGTTGTAGCAGCAATTTTTCGAAAGAGTGCTACAATATAAATCAATAAAATTTAATCCAAAATACAAATAATTATAAATATGCAAGTTTCTAACAATATTTTTAAAAGAAACAAATTGCTTACTAAAGTTTAATGAAATGTAATATTTTTTTTTATTATAACTTTGTTATTTACAATCTCAATTTTAAAATCTATAAGGAATATAAACAGTGTTATGCCTTTTTTAGTATATGTGGGGTTTCAATTGTTGTGATGCGATGAGTTTCTTTTCTTCAAATTTCCATTTTCTCATAGAAACGTAAAACTCTCGTTATTTATTTTTCTCTTATTCATCTTTTTTTTTAATGGAAATGTGTACTAAGGCTAGATTAGAAGTGTAGGTAGGTAGACGTTGCCAAGCTGGTCTGGTTTTCCTAACGTGGCGTGAATCCATTTCTGAATACTTGGGGGTGAGATCTGTCCTTTTTGTACGAGCAGTGGTAAAAGATTACGATTTGTAAACACGGATTTTCCTTCTTCCATGAAATGTGCAGGACACGTGCGCGTCAAGATATTCATTTCTTTAATGGCATTCGCCTTTATGAGAAGGAAGGAAAGACCTCCGCGATTGTTCAGTTACAGAATGAAGTTGTACTAAGAAATCTGATAGTTTGATAATTTTAGGTAGGAGAATTGGTATTGTACTAATTTTAAACAAACTAAATTTGATATAGGTACAAGTCTTAAGACAATTATTCTTAAGACTTAAGACGTAAATAATTCCAATAGAAGTTTATAAATAATCCAATCTTGAAAACTGTTTATAAAATTAGGAATGGAATGATAATTATTTTACATTTCATAAAATGATCAAACTATTATCTAATTTTTTTGATAAATTTATAATAACTAAATAATCCAATATTATGATTTTGGAAAACTTTACTTTTGTAAATTTGTAATTCTCTGTGTGGTTTTGCGCGGAATGATATTCAATCGGCGACAAGTTTTAATTGATTTACCGAGGTTTTCCGCACGTAATTCGATACGAATCATACTATATCATACTATGCATTACAGATTTCCGGTTTTGAAAGCCTCTTAATTGACCCGCATTTTAATGGCGTGCGCAATTAGAGGTCGACGGTTGTGAGCGCGATCGAATTAATGGTTTTCGCCCAATTAACAGCATCAGCATCTCGCCACTATTTATAACTTTCTTACTAATTTCGACTTACTTACACTACATATTTTTTTTTGGACCAGTCCACAGTCACATCAATTTTCTATTTCCACACAATCTCACCTACTAATTTCAAAACGAATTATTTAATTCACATCCATTTTAATTATTTAAATTCTAATTTTTGAATTTCATTTATATTTATATGAAAAATATAAATTTAAGTTTGAGATTTTTGTATAGTTACAATACTTATTGATTTCAATATATTGAATATCTCTGTGCGTCTGCTCGTTTGAAATGAAATTAGTTCTCACTTCACGAAGTTTCTTTCTATGAAATTACGAACTTTTGCATTGTTCGTTGATTGTGCATTTTAAGGACTTTAAGGATTAAAGATGATAATGAGATTGGGAATAAAATAAATTTATAAGGTTTTTTTTTGTTAATTATTATATCAGATTAGATTAAAAATTGTTTCATATAATTATTATCGCCGTGGATTAAATTATTTGTTTATTTGTATTACACTTCATCTTCTATCTAATAGTCTCACGTATATCAAAAATTTGCTGATACATAATTTAAAGATGTTTACATACAGGTATCCCCCCGACTTACGAACTTGTTCCGTTCGTAAGTCGCGGGAATTTTAAAAATTTCATAATATACTTATCTTACCACACCATTACCATGGTTTTTTACTTTCATGTATGTTAAATTCCGTATTACTGACTGCATTTTTTATCACTATATATCTTCTTGTAACAAGTTAGAGCTTTTAGAATTTTGTCCGTAAGTCCGGGAGTTCGTATGTCGGGAGATACCTGTATTTTATTTCACATCATAATTTATGAAATACTTTACCCTTTGAATATTGCTTTTTAGCTTTACAATCATTCCCTCCGCAACCTTTTCTACGCACCCTATACAATCTTTTTCACCCTTCGCATCCTTTTTTTATGCTTTTTAATTTGTTCCGTCGAGATATACGTTTCCATCCTTAATATTAATTTCATTAAAAACAAGCTAAAACAATACTTTTTTTTAGAAATGTAATAATTTTAATGATGATTCAATGAAATTCTGAGATTTTTTTTATTTGCTATACTCAAATCAAATGTTTCTTTCTATCTCAGACTAATCTTTCGTCACGAATGATAAACTTAAGATGTGAATTCTGCGTACGATATAAACATTTACAAATATAATTAAGTTATTCATGAAAGATTAACTAAAGCGCACGTTACAAAATTCAATATTTGGTCTGAATGTGCGACAATGCTGTTGCGCGCATTTCCAAGAAATTCAATTACGTTATCTGCAATCATCTGAGTTTCAGTATTTTCTTTCGTAATCTCTGCATTTTTTCATTATCATTCGAAACTTGCGCAGGATTTCTAAATATTCTCATTGATTTGTTGTTCCATGTAGTTTATATATTCGAATAATCTAAATGAAGAATTCTTCGGAAATGCAGGGTGTGTTTATATCAAATAAAACAAACAAACAATGAAAGAAGCAATTACAGTAATTGTTGGAAATGACAACCTTTTTGGTATGATTCATGTATATAAGCTGTTTGTTGACTTGAATATGGAATAATTACACTTGTATCCGGGCATTCTTTAATTTGGTTAAAACATTCGGAGGAATATGATTATTTTCAAATATTTAATTTGTAATTTCATAGTTATTTCTATACAATAGCTCGCATAGTGCTGCTTCGATCAGTCCGGATTCACTGTAGTGAAAATATCAAAACAAACTAAATTTTAATTAAGCAAAGTAAAAATAGATTCTAATAAATTAGTACACAAAATTCCAGTTCGCTTTTTTGACTTTATAAAATCAAGTCTCTTTTTTTGTACGTATTTAGCTTCTCGATTAGTCCGGTTTCAAACAGTCCGTTTATTCGATTGAAAATAGGAAGAGATATAGAACGCATAATTTGAAAGTCAATATAAAATTTTGTTTCGTAACGCAAAGCCAACTCGAAACTGTGATTCCGATCTAGTTCTTTTTTTTTGTTTTAAATTATATTTGTATTTCTGTATAATTTCTTTTTTGAAGTGTACAGTTATCCGCATAGTTAATTACTCGCTAACCTTTATTATAGTTTTTGTTTTTAATTATATACGTGAAGCGAGCCGAAGCGAACTCTCCTCTAAACGTCTCAAATCTATTAATTAATTAGTTTCCATCTTCCAATTATTATTTTGTTTTTGTTTTTAATTAAATTGCGAACAATCAGAAGAGCCTTGTTATGTTTTCGTTTCATAAAAATTAAATATACAAATTATTATTAGCTTTTTTAATAATTTTTTTTTTCTCGTTGCGAAATTGTATTTAATTGGTTTCAATTTTACCAAATTACCGAACGTTTCTTCTTAGGTGAAGGAAGACTCAACTTGACTCACCGAATCTTTATTTAAACCGGGCGCAAAAGCTATAAAAGTAAGTTCAAGACTATTTACGGAATTTACGATGACTTAAATCTGGATGTTGTAATAGTTTTTACAATAGTTTATTTGTGGTTTCTACCGAAATATCAACATTTAAAACTGTTTAAAAGGGGTTTAAAGTGTTCCACTTTGTTTGCTATTAGTTTAACCTTTATTAGCTTACACACAAGTTTGTTGTAAACGTGATGGATTTATTTGGAATTTTCAGTTGTAATTGACGTTAATGAGTTTATTTTTGTGGTTTTATTTTTCTTTATCTTAAAATTATTCTAAAAGTTTGTATTAGAATTGATCAATTCTTTTGCTTACTAATTTAATTTGATTTAATCGTTATGGATTTATTTTATGAATTTTTCAATGATTTTATTCAAACTTTAACTGCTTTTTTTGTATCAAATAAGTAATGTTCAAACATTTAAAGTTTAATTTAATAAAATTATTTTAAAATTTATGAAATTTTGATTAAAAGAAAGTTTTACAAAATTTTGTAATTGAATTAGTTTGATTATTGTTGAAGTTTCTACAAGAATGCATCATTTCATCATTGAAACTTTAAACCGAAGAAACTAATTAGTTTATTTTGATTAGTTCAGTGTATTTTATGATTAAATTTAGCTACCATTACTAGAAAACTAATATTTGTTTAAACTAAAGTTTGTTTAAAGAAAGTGTTATTTTTTCATCTACACTTTAATTGTTGAATTATTGAGTTTGTAATAATTATAATTTTTCAATGATTTTATACAAACTTTAGCTGCTTTTTATGTATCAAATAAGTAATGTTCAAACGTTTATATTTATAGTTTAATTTAATAAAATTATTTTAAAATTTATGAAATTTTCATTAAGAGGAAGTATTACAAAATTTTGTAATTGAATGAATTTGATTATTGTTGAAGTTTCTACAAAAATGAATCATTTCATCATTGAAACTTTAAACCGAAGAAACTAATTAGTTTATTTTGATTAGTTCAGTGCATTTTATGATTAAATTTTGCTACCATTACCAGAAAACTAATATTTGTTTAAAGAAAGTTTTATTTTTTCATCTACACTTTAATTGTTGAATTATTGAGTTTATAATAATTATAATGTTGCTATTTATATAAATTTTGTTGAAATTTGTTTAAAACAATTGCATTGATTTTGAATTTCGTTTTTCGATTTTTGTACCTTTAATGATATCATCAAGCAGATGATGAGAAACACACGTACAATTCTTATCAAAGTGTGTAAGAACAGGTTTTGTTATCATTTTCTGTTTCACCTTATTGTTGTTATCCGTTTGCGTTCATTTATTTATTTTCATTTTTTTTTTGTGCGAAGTAAAGAAAAACCAAAGTTTCTCTGTGTCTGCTGGTTGGCGTTCGGTCGAGAGAGTTCTGCTGTTTAGTCAAGCACTGGCCGCGCTCCGGTGCGGTTCACTTCCTTCTTCTCGTTCGTTTCACTTGTTTCATTTGTGCACACATACACATAACATCGAGGAATACAATTGCGTAATGATCATCGCGATCTTCTCTGCTTCAGTTACCTCCGCAGTCGGTTGTGCTGGACGTCGGTCCTGAGTGCGGCAATTTCGATTCGATTAATACGACGAGGATGACGGATCAAGGAATTCACTCTTCTCGCATCTCGATCTGATTCACTTCACAGCAAAATCACATGTAAGTAGTGCATTTGGAATTAACGTTTTTAGTACTACATTAAATTTCCAAAGAAAGGAATGAAAATACGAATCATACTTAATATATTAACACTAATTTTATCCAAAATTATGCAATTACTAATTTAAGATTCATCAATTTTTTTGTGAAGTCGAAAATTGACAAATTTATATGATTTAAAGTAAATAGAAATACCAAATATCCTTTATTTAGTAAAGTTTTTTATTTTAAGGATTTACATTCCTTATTGGTATCCTTTTTCAATCAAACATCAATTGGTTATGTGCCAACAAAATATTGTTGAAATATTCAAGTTTATAAAAAGGCATTTCTTTTGTTACATTTTTTTAAACAATCGTACATTGCTGCTTGTTCTATGCAAATGTTTGTTATTATCCAGTGAAGTCTTGAATTTTAGCAAATCGAGCAAAAAAAGGAAAATCTCCTTGAATACAAAAGAATTGATGTGAAATCTGCAATTGCATTCGTATATTGCAAAGTTACATAATCGCAACTTTTGGTGTAATTCGTGCATTCAAGGTTTGCCATAAGTCATTGCTATTATTATAAAAAATAATTACTTGTTATTGTTTTAAATTTTGTTTGAGTATTGAAATATTAAGTGCAAGGAAATTATAAATATAAATTAATAAATTATTGTTGTTTATAAGATAAGATAATTTTAGTAATTAGTTTGGTCATGCATTAAGAACAGATACTTTTATTTATTTATTTTAATCATAATGAATATGAATCATTTTGATGTTGTTTTTGTTTGTAAACTTATTGATAATTTTACTATTAAAGTTTTTTTTATAAAACGTAAATCAATACAAAAAACGACATTTAAGCAATAAAAAAATGCATTTTGCATTTGTAAATTTAGATAGAAGAAATAAGTTTCATTAACAATTTGTATGCAATTGTATTATGATTGAAATCGTTATAATTTGCAGAAATATGAAACATAATAAATGCGGTTAGAAATGAAATTAATGAATGATTTAGTTCTAGTAAATTATTTGTCATATTTGATAGTAAATAATGCGTTTGTGTATTTAATACAAATGCTTTTTTTGTTGTTACTAAACTTGTAGTGTTAATTGAGTATTCAAAGTCTATTGTATAATACAAAGTTACAGTAATTATTGTGTTCTGTAGTAGATTTAAATCTGCGTGCAGGTTCACTGTGTTAGGTATAATTATAGCTTTAACAGGTATGTTTCTGAGTTCAAAGTATCATTTATAATTTTAGATTTGAATGCTGCTGCTCCTATCGCGTTTCATATAAAGAATTACGTAAAAACTATATCTTATAAATTTAAGAATGATTTGTAGTGTAAAATGTGGTTAATTCCTTGATATGTAAGGTGTTTAGTGGTTTAGTTGTGAAATGTTTAAGTTCCTGTTATAAATTTGTCATAGTTGATAGGAAGGACTGCGTTTGTGGTAAGGTAATATGATATATACTTACGATATATATTGAAAATTGCCTTAGAAAATTAAAAAAATATTTCTATGTATATTTATGAATTATTAAAGCGCGTGATTCAGTGTTGTCCATAAATAGTCATTGCTTAATCCAGCTACACCGACTCGACTCGCCGACTGTCCTTTTCTTTCTCCATGTGTCCTAGCTTTCTATCTTTGTCTCGATACCTGCTCACATCTAATCTAATCTATTTAAAAGCGACATCGTTTCGCTGAATATCAACTTGCACGAAACAATGCAGCAGCAGCAGCAAGTATCGTGTGCACGGAAGGAAGCCCTTCCTTCTATACTTCTTCATTCGTTCGTCTGGCATACATTTTTCTCATTAATTCGTTATTCAACGACACACACGCGGCCTTCGTTCTCCTCTCCATATTCGTCCGTTCCATTACCATTGCAAAATCTCTTCCTGCTAGAGCCGTGCAGCGCACCGCAACAAACAATTCCTTTACGCTTTATTCATAAATTTAATTGTTCCTTTTCCATCCATCGCACGATTATTACTATTATTTCTTTTAATTAATCGCACCTGGAATTTATTACTTCAGAACATTCTGATCACTACATTCGAATTATATTAAATACACTTTGATGCATTCTTCGATAGTTTCAAAATATTTGGATTTTTCGAAATAGAATCGAAATTTATGTTTTTCTTTCGCTTGGCAATGAAATCGCCAGAATTGTTTTCAATCGAGATTCGTCGAAAGTTCGCCTTGGCAATGAATACAACAGTTATTAGTGAGAGATAGAGAGACTGTTGATTCTGCTTGAATTATTCACGAGGAAATTAAGGAATCTCCGTTTTGTTTTGTTTAGTCTTCACCTTCGATTCGGAAATTTAAATCATCGCGTCTTGTTTACGTATTATACATTTTTTCTTCTCTCTCAATTCATCCTTGTAGTTTTATATGCAAACTCGATGTATACATTCTCTTTTGTTGCACTTATTTTAATAAATATACAAATGTGAATGAAAAATATTAAATTTTAAATTAATTTCACATAAGCAATTCCATTGATGATAACGAAATATAAGAATGAAATTAATTTTTAATTAATTAATTTTGAAATTTGTAAACGATAAAATATTGTGAGTCTTTGTCATCTATAAATCAACGAAATATGTTTAAAACATTAAAGGCACTAAAAGGAAATTCATTCAAATGTTTACTTATTCAGATTTTAATGGATGGAATGTTTTACTGACTAAATTTATTGTTCAGTTAAATGCAAGGATGACTAGAAGTCAACGAACTAAATACATAGAATATTCAGCAATGTTTTGACTTCTGGAATAATCCTCATATTATGTGTATACACTTATACCCATTATTTCTGTAAACAAATACAGTGGAACCACGCTTAACGAGTTTCATCCGTTAAATTTCCGGATTTTTACTCGTATAGTGAAACATATTCAAAAATACACATAATATGTGTACACTTCTCTTCTCATCGTCACTCGTTATGCGAAACGTCGCTCGTTAAACGAGTCATTTTTCTTACAATTCATTTTGATTGTTAAGCGAAATGCTCATTATGCGACGTGCTCGTTAAGCGAGGTTTCACTGTATTAAAATATTTAGCAATGTGTCATCTTGGACAGCTGTCATTTCAAGACATATTTCTGTCATATTGGACAGCTGTCATTTCAAGTCACATTTCTGTCATCTTGGAAAGCTGTCATTTCAAGACACATTTGTGTCGTGCAACATAAAAGGTTGAGAAACGCTGTTCTGTATAATATAGCATTTAGTTTTATAAAGGATTTTTATTTCTTATTTATTTCTACGTGAAATGTGATAAAAAAAATCTATTAATGTATTAAAATATATAGCAATGTGTCATTTTGGACAGCTGTCATTTCAAGACACATTTCTGTCATCTTGGATAGCTGTCATTTCAAGACACATTTTTGTCATCTTGGACAGCTGTCATTTCAAGACACATTTCTGTCATCTTGGATAGCTGTCAATTCAAGACACATTTCTGTCATCTTGGACAGCTGTCATTTCAAGACACATTTGTGTTGTGCAACTTAAAAGGTTGAGAAACGCTGATCTGCATAATAATGCATTTAGTTTTATAAAGGATTTTTTTATTTCTTATTTATTTCTACGTGAAATGTCGTGATAAAAATATTGTTTAATGTAATAATTGTAATGCAAATTTCTTAATTTGTTCAAAATGTATTTAATAAGCAATTTAAATTAGATTTTTTTTTTAATTCCATTTAAAAGTTATGAAATTGAAACTTCTATGTTCGCGTTGAAGAAATATTTAGGTCAATCCACAAATTCGAGTGTCTATTTTATTTAGACATTGCTTATAACTAATTACGTTTTGTGGTGTTATTGTTTGCAATTAACAGCATTTTTAAGTAACGTAATTAAGCTTTCAGAATTATCGAATATATTTTATTTCTTCAATTTTAAATGATTTATTTCTAAGTGAATTATTGTGAAAATTAATGTTGTTAAGAAACTTAATTTGTGAAACTGAGTTTGAAATTCAGACGAAAAATATTGCGGTTTGGATTGACACTGTAAAGTTGAATTCCATCAAAATCATTTCCAATTCAAAATTATGTTGAAAAAAATGTTTAATTACTTGAATGCTTCAATATTTTTTAATTATTTCACTCAAATAATTCTTTATTAAAGTTAAAGTTTTTCAAATAATGTTTTTTAATGAAGATTTAAAAACGCAGCAATTGCGAACACGAACATGCATTAAACGAATTTGGGATTAAACGAAAAGAGGTGGCATGTCTACATGAGTTTGATACGAAATTATGTTCATTGTATTTTATTTTTGTGGGTCCTAATTGGAGCCAATCGTGTGAATAAAAAACGTTAAGTTGTTCGTGCGGTTGTTTTGATGGTCGTAAGTCAGTCTTTAATTGCGTTAATTTCTGTGTTTCGAACATATTTTTGAGTGTGTGCGTGGGACATCATAAAATGCGGCGATTCTTATGCGAGCCGCGTGAGGCTACTAGCTACTCCACTACGTTAACTGGGCTTAATGCTCTGATCTAAATCGGGCCGTGCCGTAACCAATTTACACTTCGCATTGTTTCAAAACCGTTCCGATCTTCCTTCTGGTCGTCGCCTCTCTTTTTGTTTTGCTTTGTTTTGTTTCGGCCGATCGCTTCATATTCCGGTCGTACTGATGCCAAATACTTGTTTAGAATGTTGAATGTACGCAATTGGGGTTTCTTCCTGCTTCGAAACAAAAAAACAAACAAACAAACAACATTTTTGCTCTTCGAATTTCTCTTATAGCAATATTCAATCGACGTGCACTTGAAATTGTGTACAGTTACGATACTCAAACAACAATGTGTGTGTGTTTGTAGAAGACTTAATCATCGTTTGTTTAATGATAATTATGATGTTTCAAGAGCATCCAGAAGATAATATAATAATAATTGTAATATTTTTGAAATGAAATTCTTACATCAAAGAAACGTTTTAGAAATTTAGGAAATATGAAAAACTGGAAC